ATGAAAAGATTTAGTGAACGTGTACGCCACGTGTACACGATCATTTACCGACCATGGTGTTATTGAGAGGAAAATCCATCATAGTGTGGTATTTTTTTGCCAACTCTTATTCGTATTTTAAGCTTAAATTTATGCTAACACTTTTACTCAGCTTCTTTTTTCCCAGATTCTTTCTTTCAAAAAAGTTTGAAATTAATCAAAATTATCATAGTTGATTCTAGGCAACTTTTTAAAATGAATTAATAGCACGAATTATTTTGCTATTTGTTATCCTTTATTTTGTGTTATTTGCTTGTGTTACTTTTTGTTTTATGCATATTTGTTAGTATTTAAGTTTTATATTTTTAAAGTGTTGGATTACAAAGTATAAATTACATAACTATTGTATTAGACGATGGCAAAGTGCTAAAAAGAAAAGCTGTAAACGGCCATAATCTTCAGTGGTACTGCAAAGGAATATTGCGTCGAAGTTATTGACGTTGAAGTTTAAAATGATGAAAAGTAACAGAGAAAAGAACGTGACTGCAGAGATTGTTGCTATTGATGCAAATTTCATTTTCTAAATTTAATATCACTGACTAATATTATTCATTTCAAAGTATTAAATTTAGTTAATAATAGTGCAAGTTTGAGCAAATAAATTTTTATACATCACTAATACTTTTGTAATACTCTGTAATCTTCAGTAGATATCTTCAGTAGATAGGGAGGGAAGAGAAACTGACATACTTTTAAATGACTGAATTTTGAACTGGAAGATTTTTGAATAGGTAATATTTGTTTGGTAATATATTTTGTTGGTAATATTTGTAGGTAGTATTTGGTGTTACAAGGAATAGATTCTCATTCAAACCGTAGAAAAGCGAGCTTTATGAATCACGAATACATTCGGCGTCGTTGAAAAATTTATTTACAGCATAAAAGCAAGAAGTTTATTAACACCGAAGCCAAAAATTATTAAAACCATCTCGAGAAAACAATCAGCAAACATTAAAATTGTTGAATTGAGGATTGAGCATGAAAACTTTGTATACATGCAGACAAGGAAATTAGTGACAAGCTGTCTCACACTAATTTATTTTAAACAAGTAATTGAGGAATATTCCATAATATGTTTATCAGAAATAATAATGCACTACTTCCCATAATTTTTGCGACAATAACATAATGGTCGGATTTCTTCATCCATAGCACAGTCTCCTTGAGATCCGTAAGAATCAACACGAGTTACCTAAAGTTAAAAGAAATGAATTTATCGAGAGCACGAGCAAGTTTTCTGATTTTTCATTTAATTCGTTTAATTTTTAATTTTATGAGTTCTAAAGTTCAGTAAAGAATTTCGTACTGAGGAATGATATGGTTTCCAAGTCACACCGATAGATTGGTGGTCTAGGCAATAAGACAATACTAATTTTGAAAAAAAGAACTGTAGAAAGAAAAGAAACTTGGCATAAGATATACTTGTGATATTAATCTGAAACCATGTTTCTGAGTTAATACTTGTGCTTCATAGCTTCCAATACTTGGTGAAGCAGTAATTACCAATTTTAATATTGGTTTTCTTACAACAGACTTTGCTGAGATAACCTATAAAATAGGACTTTTTACGATTAAACAGTTGCTTCACTATAATGCGTTATTTAAAATAAGAAGTC